GCAAAAAAAAATTTTGCTGATGTGATTTAAATTAAGGATCTTGAGATAGGGTGGCTACCCTGGATTATCTGGGTAGTTCAATGTAACCATAAGAGTTGTTAAAAGGGGGAGACAAAAGGGTCAGAGTTAGAGGAGATGTGATCACAGAAGCTAAGGAGACAGAGAGAGGGAGAGGGAGAAGGGGAGAGAGGAAGGGAGTTGTGAAAGATCCAGCTAGGCCCTGAAGATGGAGGAAGGGGCCATGAACTGAAGAAAGCAGGCAGTCTCTAAAAGTCAGAGAAGAAAATAAATTCTCCCTGGGACTTCCCTGGTGGTTCAGGGCTAGGATTCCATATCTCCAATGTATGAGGCATGGGTTCAGCCCTAGTAGGGGAACTAAGATCCCTCATCATGCCCAAAACAAAACACCCCACAATTCTCCTCGAGAGCCTCCAGAAGATATTGACTCAGCAACACCTTGAGTTTAGGATTTCTGACTTTCAGAACTATAAGATAAATAAACTTGTGTTGTAAGCCATGAAGTTTGTGGGAATTTCTTACAGCAGCAATAGGAAACTGAAACACTAATTTTGCTAAGTTTTAATACTTGAGATGGTGACTGTAGCCACGAAATAAAAAGACGCTTACTCCTTGGAAGAAAAGCTATGACCAACCTAGACAGTATATTAAAAAGCAGAGACATTACTTTGCCAACAAAGCTCCGTCTAGTCAAGGCTATGGTTTTTCCAGTAGTCATGTATGGAAGTGAGAGGTGGACTATAAAGAAAGCTGAGCACCGAAGAATTGATGCTTTTGAACTGGGGTGTTGGAGAAGACCCTTGAGAGTCCCTCGGATTGCAAGGAGAGCCAACCAGTCCATCCTAAAGGAAATCAGTCCTGAATATTCATTGGCAGGACTGATGCTGAAGCTGAAACTCCAATACTTTGGCCACCTGATGTGAAGAGCTGACTCATTGGAAAAGATCCTGGTGCTGGGAAAGATTGAAGGCAGGACAAGGGGACGACAGAGGATGAGATGGTTGGATGGCATCACCGACTCAATGGACATGAGTTTGGGTAAACTCCGGGAGTTGGTGATGGACAGGGAGGGCTGGCATGCTGCAGTCCATGGGATTGCAATGAGTTGGACACAACTGAGCGACTGAACTGAACTGAATGCTTGAGTAATGTTTGAAAAATATTTTATGCAAAGAAAAGCAGTCTTTTCTGGTCCATAAGGTGGCTATCTGTAGGAAAAGCTCACAAGAGATTGAGTTATAAGTTTATTCAGCTGTTTAAAAAAAAAGGAACAGTATTTTTAGGTCAGAATGAATGACAGGTCAATAATGGTTATTCATTATTGGAATAACCAATGGAAATATAGCAGACATTTTATCAAAAAATGAACAGATGAGCCTAACACTTAAAGAAAACAACTGACAATGACAAAATTTGACCTTTCACACAAAAATTAGCATTTTAGAAACACTGTATTCATCACTGTGAATTTGACAGTTTCTCAGTATTTAAAGACTTTTTCTGATGTCTGTGAAAATAATATGATCTTTATATATTGTATAATGAAGTGTGTCAATATTTAAGAGACCTGTATAACTCAGTGAATCAATGTGTTTCTAAATTACCAATCCATCATGTTACAAAATTACGAATGGAAAAAAGACCTTCCTGAAGTGTAAGATAAACCAATGGATTTTTACTGTAACAGAGTACAAAAAGTTCATTGATACAGTTTCAAATTCTACATTTCTTTTTTTTTTTTTTAATTCTACATTTCGATTAAGAAACTATACCTGTCAAGTTTGGGTGTGCTATTAAAGGAAATATTACATTAAGCTACTAATATGGTCTTCTCCCTTCTCCCAATTACATGTCTGTATGAGCTTTGATTTTTTTTTTTTTTTTACATATTTCAACCAACAGCAACCAGTATGGTAACAATTGAATGAAGTAGTATATGTAACTATCCTGCTGTCTTCTACCAATCAGGCATTAAGGAAGTTAAAGACACTTGCCAAAAAGAAATACATTGTGACTCTACTCACTAGTTATTTTTTGTTTTGGGGAAATATGGCCATTTTTCATACAAATATGTTATTTATGCTAATATAAAAAGGATTTATTATTATTTTTCAATGAGTTAATACATAGTTTAAAATTTTCTATTTTAATTTTTAATATGGTAACTATAAATAGATATAACACACAAAGGAAAACTCTTTAGAGTCTTCAATCAACTTCAAAGTTTAAAGGAGTCCTGTGATCAAAACGTTTTAAGACCGCTGCTCTATGGAGAAGGAAATGGCAACCCACTCCAGTATTCTTGCCTGGAAAATCCCATGGACTGAGGATCCTGGTAGGCTACAGTCCATGGGGTCATCGAACACGACTGAGCAACTTCACTTCAATGGCAGATCATGTGTCTTGTTACTTTAGGGCTATTTTAAGGATAGATTTTAAAATTAGGGATCAGGATGGGGAATATATGTAAATCCATGGCTAATTCATGTCAATGTATGACAAAAACCACTACAATATTGTAATTAGCCTCCAACTAATAAAAATAAATGAAAAAAAATAAAATAGATAGCAGCAGTATTTTTGTTAGTCTTACTAATAGATATAGAAAAATACTACTGCATTGCTTTTAGGGGATCAAACCGAGACAGCATCATTCTGTGTGACATAACTAAGGGACTAAACGGTTTTAAATAACAACAACAACAAGAAAAGACTGCTGCTCTAGCGTTTTCAACTTCACCTCTGGATTTTCATTTAGATTTTAAAGTTTTATTAAAAAAATTTTTTTTTCAAATAAAATTTTTTTTTTTTTTTGGAAGCTTTTTACGACAATCCTTATTGGATGTGAAAATCCTATGCACTCCCTTAATAATACACTATACTTCACTTATTAGCATTGTATTTTTTGCTTTTTTTTCCCCCATTTATTTTTATTAGTTGGAGGCGAATTACTTTACATCATTGCAGTGGTTTTTGTCATACACTGAAATGAATTAGCCATGGATTTACATGTATTCCCCAACCCGGTCCCCCCTCCCACCTCCCTCTCCACCCGATCCCTCTGGGTCTTCCCAGTGCACCAGGCCCAAGCACTTGTCTCATGCACCCGTATTTTTTGCTTTATATAATAGTTTGAGAGATATAATTAACATATCATACAGCTCACCTATAGTTTTTCAGTATATTTACAGAGCTATACAATCATCACTCAATTTTAAAGCACTTTGATCACCCCCTGCAAAGAAACTTTGCCTTTTAATAGTCACTCTTCATTTCCCCTCAATTCTCCAGCCCTAGTAAAATTCACTGAAGCAGTAGCCTACTAATCTATTTTCTGTATCTATAGACTTACCTATTCTGGATATTTCATTTAAACAGCATCATACTTTGCAACTGGCTTCTTTCACTTAGCATAATGTTTTCAAGTTTCATCCACCTTGTATGAGCACTTCATTCCTTCCCTTTTGTGCCTAATAACTTTTCTTTGTATTGCTATACCACTTTTGGTTACCTGTTAGTCAGCTGATGCACATTTGAGTTGTTTTTCTTTTGCTACTATGACTGCTGTGCACATTTGTGTACATATTTTTGTGTGAACATATGTCCTCAATTCCTTGGGTGTATATCTATTAGAATTACTGGGTCATGGTAATTTTATATGTAACAGTTTGAGGAAGGCAGGAATTTTTTCAAATGGAAGTGTTTTCCAAAGCATTTTATGCTCCCATTAAGTACAGTATAACAGTTCCAATTTCTTCAGAACTTATTTTTCTCTTTAATTATAGACATATATCCTAAAGGATCTGAAATGTTATCTCATTGTGGTTTTAATTTGCATTTCCAAGATAGCTAATGATGTTGAGCATCTTTTCATGTCCATTCGTATATCTTCTTTACAGAAATTTTTTTTTTTTTTTTTACAGAAATTTCTATTCAGATAGTTTGTCCATTTTTAAATTGGATTGTCTTTTAATTGTTGAATTATAATAGTTCTTTATGTATTCTAAATATTAGACCTTTATGAGATATATTATTTGCAAATATTTTCTCCTATTCCTTAGATTGTCTTTTGACGAGGTCCATATTATTTATTTTTCTTTGGTTGCTTGTGCCTGATTCAAAGTCAAGAAGATTTATACCTATGTTTTCTCCAAAGTATTTTAAAGTTTAAGCTCTTATATTTAGGCCTTTGATTCATTTTAACTTTTGAAATGTTATGAGTTAGTAATCCAAATTCATTCTTTTACATATGGATATCCAGTTGTCCAAGTAACTTCTTTTTTATTCTGTTCATTTATTCTGGAATCTCAATTCAATTCCGCTTATTCATATCCTTATGCTCTATGCTTTTGCCAGTAGGGCCACTAGTTTTGTTTTTTAAAACGAACTCATGGAAAGACCATTCATTAACTCAAAACAACCAAGTCAAGGGTGGGAATCAGCTTCTTCGCATTACTAGTTTAGGAGCTAAAGATGCTCCTAAAGTTTCAGGAGCATCTTTTTCATCAGCAGCCATCAAAATCCCGCCCAATGCGATTATGTTTTTGTTTTGTTTGTTTTAAATTAAGGTCATTGTGTTTGGCCAGGGTTGGTTAACCGAAAATGTTACCTCCAGGCTAAGAAACACTGGTATTCAGTCCAGTTTATTTAGGGAAATAGGTGAGCAAGGCCAAAAGTAGACAATAGAAGTACTTTGGCTCAGCCTTCAGAAACGCGCAAGGTGTCGGCGGGAGGAGGCTGGCTATCAGTACGGTTCCAAACAGACTGGGCACCGGGAACTTTTCCTCAAGGGATGGGCTCGGGCCCGAGGCACAAGGCCTATCTCGGTGCTGCGGTCATTAATTCATCCGTGCGACCACAACTAAAGCTCGTTCTCACTCCTCCAGCCTCCCGGGAGCACCCCCGCCGCCCCCCGCCGCCCCCGACTAGTTTTCCCGCGTCGCCTTTCCTCTTTTCAGTCTCCGTCCTCACTGCGCGTAGCGGAAGTGACGCAAGGGGTAGCGGAAGTCCCTCCAGCCGCGGTGTTGTGCTGTCGGGTAGAGAGACGGATTTGTAAACCCCGGAGCGAGGTTCTACCTACCCGAGGCCGCTGGTGTGCGGAGACCCCGGGGGAAGCCACCGTCACCATGTCTGACCAGGTACCGGGCTGGGAGCCATCCAATGGCGGTGGCCGAGGCCTTACTCTGCAGGTCTGCCTGCTGCTTGGCTGGGGCCGGGGATGGAGGCGCGGGGGAGGGGAGCGCGGACTGGGGGAGGGGGCGGCCAGTGGGGACTGGGCTGGAGAGGGAGGGGTGTAGACTAGGGCAGGAGACGCCCGGGCCTGCCGCGGGCCTCTGGGAGCCACCCTACCCCTCTCCGGGCTGGCTCATCACCCCCTGTGCCCCAGCGCCTCTGGTCGCGGCCTCCCTCCAGTCGTCCCCGTTCTTTTCTCTGGGGCGGACCAGGTGCAGAGCCCAGCTTCCACTTTCCCAAGAGGGTCCCTGAGGATCCCGCCCGCCTGCCTCTCCGGAGGACTCACTGCAGAAGCAGGGCCCTAGGCCCCAGTTATGTAACGGGAGAGAATCCCTGCCCCGGAGGCTCTGTGGCCCTGAAAAGCGGGTGGACTCCTCTCCTTGTTTCTTGGTCTTTAGATAGTCGCGGAGTGGGACGTGGGGGCGGAGGGAGGGAGACGTCTCGTGTTGCTGAGAACCTCGAAAGCTCCGCTTTCCATTCGGATTGCAGCTAGGCCGCCGCTGCTTTGCTCTGAGCCTTTCTCCGTGTGGGGGTGCAGAGCTGTCGCCTCTTTCCTTTTACTTTCCCATTTCTCACTCGGGATTGGTTCAGTAGCTCTCCAGTTGGAAGAGAGCACTCAGAATAACCAAGAAACAAAGTAGAACGAAACTGCTAGAGCTACAGGAAGCGTTTCATCTGTGAGTTAACCTGAAGATGACTGATAACCTTTCAGGAAAAGGATAGGAAAACTTCGTGTGCGTGAAGCAGTTGCAGAACGTTTGCAGAAAGCTTCGTGTTATAGCAGAGTGCTCCATCTCAGTGTTAATAGCAGGAATTTACTTGGGATTTGCATTCAATCAGGAGTGTTCGATTTTCCGTGGTGAGTTTTTCTTCCTCATTCATTTCTAGTTAACCTTGTTTATGGCTGATAGGCTTCGCTAGTGGCTCAGCGGTAAAGAATCAGCCTGCCAGTGCAGGAGACGCGGGTTCGAGTCCTGGGTCGGGAAGATCCCCTGAAGGAGGAAATGGCAACCCACTGCAGTATTCTTGCCAGAGAAATCCCATGGACAGAGGAGCCTGGAGGGCTACAGTCCATGGGGTTGTAAAGTCCTACACGACTAAGCGACTAAACAACAGCAAAATGTTTATGGCTAGTTCTTACTTTATAGGGTTTTTGTCTGGCCTTCGTTTTGTTTGCTTAGATGACTTGGACTTTTTAAAGTATTTTTGAACCTTTTGCTTGTTTAGTGATAGTTATCTAGAAAACTGTTTCTCATTCAACTCTGCAGTGTACTTGAACTTTTAAATTTAACACACTATTCCCTTGGCTTTTAACCCAGTTCAGTTTTGTGCCGCTTGGTGAGAGCAAGTGAGGCTTTTGTGGGTTTGTACTGTTGCACAAAACATACATTTATAAGGTTAAACCATAATCTAGATTAGTTTTGAGTGAATCTTCTTACTAACAGTCTAGATTCCAAGTAGTTATGGGAATGGAGTTACAGCCATCTCCCTAGGTAGTTGTTTACTTGATTTCCAGGGAGGAAAGAAAGGTGTAAATGCTTTATTTCATCAGCCTTTTATTTTGATGCTCAGAAGTGGCTAGGAAATATGTTGAAATTTACTATGTAGTCTGAGGAAAGAGCAGTGTACAGAAGGAAATATAAAGTAAATTGTAGAATTTATTGTTCCAGTTTAAATTCCAGCTATTTAAGAGAAACTTGAATAAAGGACCTAGGACACTAACAGGTGGCCAAAATTATTTTCACAATAATCCTGGGACTTTGTCTTTTTCACTCTCATTCTTTCATGAGTGTTTGGTGGGGTTTTCTAAAGATTAACATGACCTGGGATATCACAACAGATTGAAACATAGAGGCAGATGTGGAAATCCAGCTGCTTTCCTATTAAGCCAGACATTGAAGAGATTTGCAAAAAATGCAAAACAGTGCCACTTTTCTTACTAATTTTGTTTTTAAAAAATGTTTTTTTGAGATTGATACTTTATTGCTGCTTTCAAGAAATTGTATTTTATATACACAGTACCATTTAATGAGGGTATCATCATATCCTTAGACGTGTTTCATATTGTTACTATCAAAATACTTTTCATAAGTAGCAGTGGATTTATTATCCTAAAATGAATTATATGTTTATAAAACATATTTCAGATAAACCTCAGTAGATACAACCAACCTAACAAAAGCTTTATGGAGTTCTAAATGATTTTTAAGAGGAATCCTGAGACTGTAAAGTTTAAGAACTGTGGCTCTATGCTGATCAACCAGTATCATTATTAATAATCAGGAGCCAGTACAATTTTAGTGTTGTAGTGCTAAGGATTTAAAGAGATAAGAAGCTGCACTCTTACCCTGATGAGGCTTATGAGTGAGAATCCCAAGTTACTCCTGCGCCATACCAGCAGTGTGAGACTGGACCACCGTCCCCAGAAGACAGTCTTAATATCAACCAAGTTGTTTAGAATGATGTATATTCTGAGGCACCTCGGAGGGTTTTTTGTCTGTGCTGAAGATACTAGAATTGAGCAATAATTTCAAGTTAAAATAGGTGGATGTTAGAGTCATGCAAGACTTGAATTGCTGGGTTCTGCATTGATTAATGGAAAATGATTATTTTTGGAATTTGAGTGAAATAATTTCTCATAATTCTAACAGTGCTGGTCCATTGTCCAGTGGACCATTTTTGAATAATCCTCTAATACAGATTCCGAACCTGAGGATCATGAATCCTAAAGGGCTGAAAATCCACTGAAATTTTATGGCAATCTGTGAAGGTTTTTTTGCATGTGTGTTTGTTTAGGGAGAAAGGATCCATAGCTTTCATTAGGGGTACATGATCCCTCAAAAAGGTTAAGGACTAGCCTTTAACCGATAATAGAGATCCGATGGTGTGCTTACTTTTAGCCTGATTTCACCTACCAGCGAAACTGAGCACATAATTATATAGACCCAGATGCCAATGTCCGGAGAAGGCAATGGCACCCCACTCCAGTACTCTTGCCTGGAAAATCCCATGAACGGAGGAGCCTGGTAGGCTGCAGTCCATGGGGTCACTAAGAGTTGGACACGACTGAGCGACTTCCCTTTCACTTCACTTTAATGCATTGGAGAAGGAAATGGCAACCCACTCCAGTGTTCTTGCCTGGAGAATCCCAGGGACGGAGGAGCCTGGTGGGCCTCTGTCTATGGGGTCGCACAGAGTAGGACATGACTGAAGCGACTTAGCAGCAGCAGCAGCAGCAGATGCCAATGTCAAACTGGTAAGGATAATTTGTACAAATGTTTTTCCTTCTTTCTTCCCTGTATTCACATTTATAGTGTTTCTTTTCCGTACTGAAATCATGAAAGACAGCATGGACTTCAGCTCTTCAGTTCAGGTCTGTTAATTTGTAATAATTGGATGACTGGTTTGGTTCAAATGCTAACTGAATCTGTTGTAGCAGGTTTACTCTCTCCATCCCAACCTCAGAGAGGAGGGGTGGAGAGGGAGACAGATACTGATTGATTGAGCTGCTTTTATCTTTAGTCAAGGATTTGGAAGCCTTATGTAATTCCTGCTATCTGTTGGTACTTAACAAAGTGCTTCAGAACTTAATGGCTTAAAACAATGGTCTTGTTTTGCTCATAAATCTCAATTTTGGCAGGGCTCTGTGGTTTGGGCTCATCACTGCTTCTTGATGCGTGGGGCCTCCGCTGGGATTACTCACGTGACTGTGGGCTCTAATGGATGGTTTCTTCATATAGTCTCAAGGCCTCTCTGAGTGGTCTTGTCATGTATTCTCTTCAGCACAGGGACCCCAGGATATTCAGACTTAACGGCACCTCATGGCTCACAAGACAGTGTTCCAGAGAACCTTGGGTGGAAACCCCAAGCCTCCTAGAATCTAACTTTGGAAGTCACTTTTGCATTTTGTTTGTCAGGCAAATCACTAAGTTCAATCCAAATTCAAGGGAAAGGCATTTATTCATTTCAATGGAGATAATACTTGACATATTAGTTGCAGGTTATACAATGTAATGATTTGTGTATATTGTGAAATGATCCCTAGGATAGGTCTAGTTAACATCCATCAACACACACAGTTACAAATTTTTCTTGTATTAAGAGCTACTCTCAGCAACCTTCAAATACACAATACAGTATTATTAACTATAGTCACCAAGGAAAAGACACCTAGATTCCGTTTCTTAATGGGAAGAGTAACAAAGAATTTGCAGTTATCTTTAATCTACCACACTAGTTGTACTCCTTTTGTTAGGATAGCATTATTCCCTGCAGCATTATTTATATCTCCCTGTTTTTGGTGTTTGCTGATCTTCCTGTTAGCTTGAGATGGCAGAAGAATATGATAAACTAGATATATATTGAAGTTCATAATTATGTATACTACTTACCTCGTAGAAGAAATATGTTACACTGATGCTCTGACTTGAGCATTTAGTTAATGATACATATCTTAAGTATTCCATGCCCCAGGAGAGGAATGATATATTCTGTCTTCTCTGACAGATAGATACATGAAGTGCTGCTAGTAGATGTTGCAAGCATATTGATTATAATAAAACATTTCAAATAAAATGTGAACATTATTTAATAGTATTTTTAAAACTGAGTATGATTATTACGGTTAGAGTACTTATGAGTGTTAGTGGAGTAGTTCAGATTTCAAAACTAAAGCAGTTGTCAAATATCTCTTGCTGCTCATTAGCCTCCCCCCATACCAATTAGAATAATATTATATGTTATAGCTTTTATATATAGTGTTACAATTATTTAAGTGCTTTTCTCCATTACACTGTTTGCTTTCCAGGGTCAGGAATCAGGCTTTACTCACCCTTTTTTCCTGAAGTGCCAGCAGTGACTGAATACTTAGTAAAAGTTTTTAAAGAAATGAGTGGTAAGAGTAATT